TATCCTATTTCCTATCCCTATCCCCTATTCTATTCCCTATTCCCTATCCTATCCTATCCTATCCTATTTCCTATCCCTATCCCCTATTCTATTCCCTATTCCCTATCCTATCCTATCCTATCCTATTTCCTATCCCTATCCCCTATTCTATTCCCTTTTCCCTATTCCCTATTCTATTCTATTCTACTTCCTATCCCCTATCCCCTATCCCCTATTCTTTTCCCTATTCCCTATTCTATTCTATCCCTATTCCCTATTCTATTCTATTTTTTTTGTGTTTTAATGGATTGCTATGTTCCGTTTTTATTTTTATTTTTTTGTCTGTACCCCCTTCCCCTGATTTGCATTGTGAGCCGCCCTGAGTCCCCTTGGGGAAAAAGGCGGCATATAAACGTAATAAAATCAAATCAATCAAATCAAATCAAAATCAAACCTATTCTATTTCCTATCCCCTATTCCCTATTCTATTCCCTATTCCCTATTCCCTATTCCCTATTCTATTTCCTATCCCCTATTCCCTATTCTATTCCCTATTCCCTATCCTATCGTATCCTATCCTATCCTATTTCCTATCCCTATCCCCTATTCTATTCCCTATTCCCTATTCTATTCTATTTCCTATCCCCTATCTCCTATCCCCTATTCTATTCCCTATTCCCTATCCTATCCTATCCTATCCTATCCCCTATTCTATTCCCTATTCTGTTCTGTTCTATTCTATTCTATTTCCTATCCCCTATCTCCTATCTCCTATCCCCTATTCCCTATTCTATTCCCTATTCTATTCCCTATTCTATTCTATTTCCTATCCCCTATTCTATTCTGAAACCTATTCTATATTCTATATTCTACTCTACTCTACTCCACTCCACTCCCCTCCCCTCCAGAAGTGTGAGTTTCAACTTCTTAAAGCCCCAGCCGGTGTGACCATGGAGAGAATTCTGGGAAGTGAAGCCCACGCTCTCTAGAAGAGCTTCCTGACTGGGGAATTCTGGGAGTTGAAGTCCACCCATTTTAAACCATGCTGGCCATGGAATTCTGGGAGTTGAAGTCCCCCCATCTTAAAGCATGCTCTTCTAAGCCAAAGCCAATCCTAGCAAATGATTCTCCAGTGGCTACTCTTGGCCTTCCGACCCAAAACGGTTGATTCTTGGGACTGCTTCATTCTGAAGGGTATGTGATTGTGTATTTGTGTGTGTGTTACTGCTTTGCGGGAGCATCTTTGTGACAATCATCTTCAAGACGAAATGCCCTTTCCAAAAATCAGCCAGGCCTATAAGCCTCTGCTCCCTTCTTCCCACCCCTCTGTGTTCCACTCACGTAGGCCCAAGCACTAGTGGTGGTGATGCCACTAGTGGACATGGCAAAAGACCCCTCCCCCCAAAAAAATCTGCTCCCTGCCCATCAGATCTCCCCCTTTGCACAGAAAATGCCGTCCTATTCAGGGAGACAGCTGAACCGATCCGTCCCAAAGACTCAAATCACCCAGGCCAAAAATGTCTAAGGTTGAATCGTGGCAACTGGACCAAATTTTCTGTGGTTCGGTCCGGTAGCCACAATTCAGCTGTTAGAAGCCAAAAAATAACTGGCCAATAACTCTTTTCTTCCACCTTTGTCTCTGCTTAACCGTCCGTCTCTTTCTCCCTCTGCAAGCAAGAAGGGAAGAAGGCGAAAGGGGCATAGAAGCTAAGGGAAGAGGGCTGCACCTTTAAAACCTTTTTTTTTGTTTTTAAAACTTGCTTGTGAGTTAACCGTAATTAATTATCGTTAATTACCTTTGTCGAGTAGCCATTCATCTACTACTCGACCGAGCCGATACGGTATTCTTTGTCTAGCAATCGCCAGCCGTTCATTATCAGTGTTCCCTTCAAAAAGTTTAGAGAAAGATTTGTAGACGGTTAAGAGGAAGAGGATTTAAAAACAAAAAAAGAACAACACCAAAAAAAAAATGTTAAAAGAAATAAAAAAAAATAAAAATAAAAATTAAGAAGAACAGAGAAAAAGAGAGAGAGAGAGAGAGATAAAAAAAGAGACATATACGCCATCTGGAAGGTCAAAGTTCAGAGGTTAGCAAATTTAGAGAGCTCAGTCTACACTCCAAACAGCAGTTTTAAGCGTTGGATCAAAAATTAGCGGTTAAGTTTCCATTAATTCTTTTTTTGGGGTGGGGATGGGTGGAAAGGGGGGGATTTGTTTGGGTGGGTTTAGAGAGTTTAGCCACAATGAATAAAACACTAGTTATTCAGTTTAGTTTAAGGGTTAGGATGAGCAGGATGGAAGTTAGAAGGCTTTATGCGGCCCTGGGGAAAGGAGCGAATTCTCCCCGGGGCCTTTGTTGTTGTTGTTGTTGTTTTGTTGTTTTTGTTTTTAAGCAAAAAATTAAATTCACTTTATTAGCCGACTTTAATGTTCTACGTTCACAAAAACGGTGGAAAAAGCAACTCGTAGGATTGTAGTGTTTTTTTTCTCTCCTGGTTTTCTTTTTGGTTTAAATTTAATTTAAATTCTCTGCCGTCGTCCCCAGCCCCGGTTGGTTCCCTGCCTACCAACTCCACCCATAAGCATTCTCCCCCACCCCACCCCGCCATTTTGCAACCCACCCACCCCAAAATAAAAATAAACACCCCCTTGGATTTGTCCCCACTTTGGCCTCTGAAAAGGGGCCAAAGGAATTGAGCAGTCTTGTCATCAAAATAATGAGGGAGGGGTGTAAACGCTGGAGGGGGGAGTGAACCAGGTGTCTTGGGAAGGTGGGTGATTGGCAGGTCCAAATTTGGTAGCCTTTAGGTCAATGCGCAAAGGTTGGGCTTCAGTGATGGGACACGCTTTTGAAGCCCCCCGCCTGCCTGCCCGCTGCCAATTGTTTCCCCCACTGTTAAAGTTTTAAAAGAGGGTTAGAATCACACACCGTGGATTGTCATTTCCCACATCCGTGGCCTCGGAGAGCTGCACAAACCGGCTTGAGATGGGATGGACACCTGTGGAAGGGTCAAAGCTGACCCCAAGCCACGCTGAGGGTTTCTTTACAGCTTTTGTGGGGGTGACAGCCTGTCCCCAGGGTCCGTCCTCTGCTGGGTCAAAGGGCCAGTAGCTTCAAGAGGAGAAAATCCTGCATGTTCACCTGGGAATGCAATCTCTTCTCCCGTTTCACTGAGTTCTTACCTCCCCAATTTCAGCTGACCGTATCTGCTTACCTGTCATGTGTCCCCTCCCCCCCCTCCCCAAAGGAGAAAAGGCTGAGGTTATAGAGAAGGTGTGGAGTGGTGCGGTGGCCTAGAGGTGGCACTCTCAACCTCACAATCCGGGTTGGCTGTGGTTTCGATCCTAGGTAGAGCCAGCTATTTCTCTCTCTTTGGGGACAATGAGAATGTATCTGTCGAACAAAACTCCGCACTGGTGACAGGAAAGGCATCTGGCCAGTACACACTCAGTTTGATTCAGTTGCCCAGACTCCACCCTGCAAGAGATTATGGGCTTGTTAAAAGGAGATGATTTGTGAGAGAAGGCGTGGAAGATTGGACCCCAGGTACAGACAGCACTTTCCAAAGGTTTTCCATTGGGGGGGGGGGGCGCCTTCAGAATACAATACGGCGAAGAGCCATGTCCCCTTGTTCATTCTTTGGTTTTATTGACCATGCTGGGCTGGTGGAGTGGCTTCCCCTTTTGCCCAGTCAGAGGCAGAGAGGGAGTCAGCCGCAATGCCGTGAGAGCAGCCAAAATTTGGCAGCGCAGGCGCCTGGCAGGATGGGACCCTTGATCCCCAAAGTGGCCTGAAGGAAGCCGCTAAAGCAAGGGAGAGCTTCAAAAACGAAGACTCAGAGAGAGAGAGGAAAAGGCCTGTTCTCAAATGACACACCGTCCCCATTCCTGGACTTTTGTTGGTTGTATGAATTCCCAAGTGCCAAGAAAGACAGTGGAATGATTTGCCTGCAGAAATCGTGGCAATCGTCCCTGGATATTTTTAAGAAGAACCGGATTTCCAGTCGGCAGAGGAAAAAAGACGCAGTGCTATAAGGAGACTCTATGTTGGGGAACTGGACTTCCAGTCGGCAGAGGAAAAAGGACGCAGTGCTAGGAGGAGACTCTATGGTGGGGAACTGGACTTCCAGTCGACAGAGGAAANACTCTATGGTGGGGAACTGGACTTCCAGTCGACAGAGGAAAAAGGACGCAGTCCTAGGAGGAGACTCTATGGTGGGGAAACTGGACTTCCAGTCGGCAGAGGAAAAAGGACGCAGTGCTAGGAGGAGACTCTATGGTGGGGAACTGGACTTCCAGTCGACAGAGGAAAAAGGACGCAGTCCTAGGAGGAGACTCTATGGTGGGGGAACCGGACTTCCAGTCGGCAGAGGAAAAAGGACGCAGTGTTAGGAGGAGACTCTATGGTGGGGGAACTGGACTTCCAGTTGGCTCCAGCATTGAATGGGGGGCTTCCGATTAGGACCTTTGTGGCTTTTTGAGTGTTGAAGGTTGCCGACCCCTGGGATAGGTTGTCCTGCTTGAGCAGAGGGCTGGAGTAGAAGACCTCCAAGGTCCCTTCCAGCTCTATTCTACAGGTGAGCAACTTCTGTTTCCCGACTGAGTGAAATATTTGTTGTGCGAGGAGGCAGAGCCAGATAAGGGCAGCGTAAATTAGTGCCACGGAGGAAGCCACTTTTCAAAGCAGCAGCAGCAGCCGCCTTGCAAATCTTGTCAAAATCATCAAAAAAGCCAGGAACAGCTGGAGGGAGGGATGGAGAAGCTGGCAGGAGCAGCCAAAAAAGACCAGTTGGAAGGTTTGATGTTCCCCCAAAGACGGATAGATCTTCCATCAGGACAGGACACAGAGCTGTCTTCTGGACCTCTAGGAATGGTGGGCATGCTGTAGAGCAGGAACTAAACTGGGAAACCACAGGCAGGTTCCTTCCTTCCTTCCTTCCTTCCTTCCTTCCTTCCTTCCTTCCTTCCTTCCTTCCTTCCTTCCTTCCTGACTTCCTTCCTACCCTCCCCCTCCCATTTCCTTCCTTCCCTTTCCCTCCCTCCCAGTTCCTTCCCTCCCTCCTTCCTTCTTTCCTGCCTTCCTTCCTTTCTTCCCTCCCTATCCCTCCCATTTCCTTCCCTTTCCCACCTTTCCATTTCCTTCTTTCCTTCCTTTCCTTCCCCTCCCTCCCATTTCCTTTCCTCCCTCCCTCCTTCCTTCCTTTTTCCTTCCTTCTTTCCTGCCTTCCTTTGTTTCTTCCCTCCCTCCGCCTCCCATTTCCTTCCTTCCCTTTCCCTCCTTTCTATTCCCTTCCTTCTTCCCTTCCTTCCTTCCCTCTCCCTCCCATTTCCTTCCTTCCTTCCCTCCTTGGCTGATCTGTAAACGCCTTTCTGTTTTGGGAAGAATATTTCTCCTTCAGAAAATGATTAAATGATTTTGGGGTGGGGGGTGCAGGGAAAATAGGGTATAAAAGCAGCGTTTCTTCAGCTTCTGTCCTTTCCATTGGGTGTGTGTGTGGGGGGGTGTTTGTGTGTATCATGATTTAGTTCAGATTTTATCAACCCTGTGGATAAGCTGGCACGATCGCAAGAGAAGGGCATTGATCTGTCTCCACTAAAAATCAAGAAGATTCGAGAGCAATTCTCTGTCGGCTTTCCCCCATCTTTCTTTTCCTTCCTTCCTTCCTTCCTTCCTTCCTTCCTTCCTTCCTTCCTTCCTTCCTTCCTTCCTTCCTTCCTTCTCCCTCTTCTTCTTTTCTTTTTCCATTTCCTTCCTTCCTTCTCTTCCCTTCCCATTCCATTTCCTTCCTTCTATCCACCCTCCCTCCAAGCAGGAGGGGGAACCAAGCATTGGCATGTGCTTTTGTTGTGGTGGACAAGAGGACCAGCTGGTGTTGGCCCAGAGATTTAGGTTCGGCCTCCTCTTCCTCCCTGCAAACCCCACTCCCATCTAGCAATGATAATGTTACCTAGTTGGGTTATGGAATGTCTGGAAAAAACAAACAACTAAGGTCTGGGAGCAATAAGGACCCCACAGTCCTCCTCCTCTCTCCCTTCCTCCCTTCCAGCACTGATGATATTACCTAGTTGGGTCATGAAACGTCTGCAAGAAAACCACCAAGCTCAGAGAGCACCCAGGACTCCACAATTCAACCCTGAGCCACAAATATTCTCTTCTAGCGGTACCCAACCCCACATTAGTGTAAGAACGGGGAGGGAGGGACACACAATTTTTGCTCCCTTGCCTTGCACCCCATATGTGTGCGTGTGTTTGGTAACAAATGCCATTTTATATGTGCAAATTGGCTGGCTCTCCTGTCTCAGGGATGAGTCTCCATTTCAGTTTTTCCAGAGGGAGGGGGGAATTTCTCTGCCGGTGAGACAGGATAGGCCCTACAGGATAAAACTCAAGAGACCCTTTCCTGGGGGGGAGGAGGAAGGGAAGGAGCAGGGTGAGGGGTGCTCCCCTTTCTGACTCCATCTTTGCTTCTCATTCCATGCCGCCATTCAGTCCCCTAATTAGAGAGAAGGAGAAGTCGAGGGACTTTTCATGCTCCCATTAGCTTCCGTATTAACTAGCCGATTAACATCTTTTAATTAAAAATACGCCATCCTCAGAAAGTGACCAGAGTCTGTAATTAGGATCCGGCTCTACACGCAATTTCACAGCTGGAATCTTATCTGGCAGGGACTTGGGAGGGGACACGTTCGTTGCTGGCCCGCCTTCCGCTCGCACAACAGCCGCCTCGACAAAACGAGCTAAACGAATAAAAAAATGGAGACATTCGTCGGATGGGGAAGCACAGCGACGCAACCCTCAAGGCTTCGGTGAGCAAGCCTCCAAGGGGAGAGCTGTCAATCAACCCATTTAGGGGGGGGAAAAAAGGAGGTTTGCAGGATCGGAGTG